CAAGTTTTTCCAAGGACATCAAGTGCAGAGGTATCAATAAATCTTGATCAAGTTCTTGATCAAGAATTTTCAAGAAAAAAAATCTTTAAAGAACTTGTGCAGATTTTCTCTTTCTGCAAGACGTGGGCATAGTTCTTATCCAATCGAAAGAGCGTGACGATCACCTGACTTGTTTTCGAAGATCAGCAATTAAATGAAATAAAACCGTTTCGTTTCTTTCTCTCTGTCTCTCAGTTTGCAATTATCTAAGAGTGGATCTCCAGAATGCTTAAATTAGAAGAAATCATCACTAAAACATTCTTTCGACATATGAATACCTGGCTTTTCAAATGGTTCATCGTAAACTTAACGTTTCTGCTTTACCTATGTCTATATTATTTTGTGTGAATTCTCAATAACTTATTACACTTGTTAACTTCTCCCTTTTTTAGATCTAATCATAAACTCATGTCTCGTCCACATCCGTCAGTCCAAACGCTTCCAAACTCTCACGCTCCTACGCCCGATTGTGTTGTTTCATCTAATTGAAGAAAAAAACGAATGATTATTTTTTTCAAGGAATTTACAACAAAATTTGGTGAGGATTATGTCCACGTGCACAAAGAAGCTGAAGATAACAATGAGAATTAAACAGCTGTATATATTATACTATTTTTTCCATTTCACTCTCAGAAATCGCGACTTCTGAAATGAAAAAAATGACGATTTTTCCGCAAAATCGTCATCATGAGGACGCCTGAACCCACGTACATTTTCTGCAGATTGGTAGATAAAAAAATGGCTAGGCGCCTTTATTACCAAAAAAAGCGTCTGTCTATAGGCGTCTCACTGGATTGGATAGGCTGATATGCATCAATCAGATCTAAATACTCAGTTTGAGTCAATTTTACGGCCATGGGCTGATTTAATGAAAATTGCAGGCAATACAGTGCAAATTCCATTTCATTATTTTTTAAAGTTTAGAATTCATACACAAAGTGTACAAAGTACACCTTGTGTACTCACTGTCACAAAGTGAGAAATTGTCCAAACTTATTGAACGCTTAAGTCTAAGCGAGCGTTCAATATAGGTACTATATACTTACCTAAACTGCAAGTTCAAACCGAAGAAACAGTCTTCTTTATTGATATATACCCCTGTCACTTGCAAAATTTTGTGAGTGATGCAGTTAAAAACATAAAAAAATGAGTCAGCGCTGCAATCCGATCACAAGGCAACGCTAAAATAGAAAATTATTTTATCTTAGCAAGACGCCTAATTCGTCTTATTGAGACGGGTAAAAACGTCAGGATTTCTGAGAAAGAAAGGAGCCTCAGTGTAAACGTTATCTACAAATAAGCGAACCAGTCACATCGTACTGAACGAAAGAGCAAAACCAAAAACTTGTTTTCGATTATAAACAACCGTTTGTTTGTTGCGCTATGGCTTCGAAAAACAGTTTCAATCAGTTCTCACCAGTCGTTTTATTCTTCTTTGGACAGATTCGGATTCTGAGTGTGGAAGACAAAAGTCATATTAATTAAATAAACATCTGCTTGTATGAGCTCAGTTTCTTTTCATTGCTTCATCCTTAGATTATATAAGAAAAGAACAAAATTCGACTTTAAAATGCCAAATGTAGTGAATTTCGTTTTTTTTTTAATTTGAAGTATCTGCTGTGGTCTATGTCTTTTCTTTTGCTTCCATGCTTTTAGTCAGCCGCATGCATTATAATAGTTGGATTTAATAAACTTATAATTGATCGTAGAACATAATCTTAAAAAGCACATTGGAATCACTATTTCAACAGATACGATTTTCGACTAGTTGTGAGGGGCGTAGGGTTTCATTTATAAATAAAATAAAGGTTTTTCAGAAAGAACTTGTATTTTCAGAACGAAGATTAGAGGAAACAAACGATGATTAAGTTTCTAGTACTTTATCAATTTTCATCATCTGGCTCATCATTGTTCTGACGACCATGGAACACTAAATTCTCCATATTTCTACCAGTTTTAGCATTTGAGTTTCAAAAACTTGAAACAATCATAGAACATTGCGAAAATTCAAGTTCATTACTTCAACAGTGGTTCTCTCATTTAGTACTAAATCGTCTCATCTATCAAAATTCATGAAAACGTGAGCTAACAGAGATATCAACAAACAGAAGAGTAAAAAAAATAAGCTAAATCGCAGTTGCTCAGCAACCAGAAGGTGAAAACAATAAGACGCAATACATTCTCTTCCTTAAACCTTAAACTATTGTTCGCATTATTTGTTTTCTCAATTTCTCCGTTTGATTGATGTTACAGTTTATAAAATAAATTCTTTTGTATATGCAGTTTATTGTGTTTATTTCTTTCCAGTGTTGATCACTATCTGGAATTGGTTGAACAATAATTTGATGGAAGTCCAAAGCTCGGCTGTGGGGGTTCACGTTGTTGTTCGAGTGGGAAACGATGACCGCGTCCGTAACCTGAACGTTGAGAATTCTGAGTAGTAGACAGAGGAGAGGATGAACTAATCATCTGTTGTTCAACAGGCGTAACCGTTGTGATTGTTGATGAAGAAAGAGAATTAATGTTTTGTATAGCACCATTATTTCGAACGAAAGACGAGAAAAAAAAATTTCTCGAATGTAAACTACAAGATGGAACAAAATTCAACAAATAATGATAAAAAGTTTCCCAGTTTTGCTTACTTTTGTTGTCGATCATCATCATGTATTGATGTTTCTGATGGAGTATGATGACTATTGTTTTGTACTGTATGCTGAATACATGCAGAAGGTGTAGGAGTTTCTGATGGTGTAGATTTTTGCGATGGACGATTTAAAAATCCCTTTGGTGGTCTATTTGAAAAATTTCTTTCCTGATCATCATTATTGTACCGTATTTCTAAGTTCACTGGTCGTAGCGTTTTTGTTGGCGATGATTGCATTCGACTTAAAAATTGATCGAGTGTGAACGGTTCAGCCGATGGACGAGTTTTACCATTTTCTTCTTCTTCATCACTACTAGATGATGGTTCATCCATATAATTTGGTAAATATCTGTGAACAAAAAAAGCATCACTATTTAGAGGCTTTTCTCTCGTTAATAATTACCGTATTTCATTTGTTTTCGATGTTACTTGTAATCGATATGGCTCTATTTTATCATTTGGATTTAATTTTATCGGCGGTAAATACGTGTAACGCGCATATTTATTGTCTAAACAATAATCACCTTCAGATGTTTGACGATTCTTTTCGACTAAATGCGATGGCATTCTGTCAAATGAATGTTTGGTATTTGGTTTCAATTTTCTAATCGAATCCATAACAACATTAAAATCTGAAATGAAAAAAGGATTGAGTTATAACCACATATGACACGTAATAGATGAATAAAATTGGGCGCAAATCTCAGCATCCAACTCTAGTATAGTTTATGAGCAAAGTTGTCTGACAGATGAAAAGGATAATAAAGCGATTAATGAAAACATTAGCCAAAATCAGATTCTTTAAAAACACAACAAAAAAAATTCAGATTCAAAATACAACAGGCCAAAAAATGTTCATCTTACTATAATTGCATGCATATGATCACGAACACAGGTGAGAATGTCATAGTCTTTATAAATATTAGAAACGAAAACAGAAAAAGTAAGAACGTTCAAATATACATACATAACCTATATTACACGAAGTGAGTACCAAAATTATTCGGCAACCTTCATTTTCGAATTTTTTTTCTTAACCATCATAGCCAAAAGAAATTCGAAAAGTGGTTCGAGCAGAAGAAAGAGTTTCTAATCAGGTCGGGTGTGTACATGAAAAACTCACGGAAAAATTGTTGAAAATCAAGTCCTTAGAACTGTTTAGAAACTTTTTTCAAGCAGTCTAGTGGAATAGAACAAAAACTTCTGCACTAAATGAAATATCTCCAAGCTCTCCATGACAATCTCAGCAACTAATTAGCCGTCAACATTCAAATATTATTGGTAACATTCCTACACTTTATTCAAAGAGCGGTTGCCAACCAGAGAAAGATGCGAGGAGGATAAAAATTGGGCCAAATCTATAGTTTTTGAGTATAAATTTCAAGTTCTTATCTTGTCGGAATCTAGGTAAGACTTTCATAAAAATATCCTATTCATTTACAATATTTCAAACAAAAATATTGAATACGGATTTAAATCGATAGAATGACTCAAGATTTTGACTTATTTCTTTTATACACTCAAATATCATCTGGATGAACGAACTTGTGCCCATAATGCAAAAAGAGAAAGAAATTAGAAAATAAACAACTTGAATTGAAATTCACATTGTTAACAATATCAATATGTCAGTAACGAAACATTCTGATAAACGCCACATTTTGGAAAGAAAAAGAGACAAGCAAGTTTAAAAAAAATATGGCTGATAAAGTTATCAACTCACTGGTCCTCTTTTTGATCAATTCAATCGAATTGTATCAAAACAAAGACTTTTGATAAATTTTCTTATTTTTACAACATTTTTTCTAGAAACTCAACTAGAAAATTGTACGAGGAAAATAACGCTGTTGTGTAATTTTTATAGCGCCATTATTATAAAAAGCAACATAGCAAAAGATGAGCAAAGTCAGTTGCATTAAATGGAGAAATGACTACCTGCGTTCTTTGAACAAAAAAAACTCATAAGAAATAGCCAGCTAGTATAAAAATGATGAATTTCGGTACGCTGATAGAAGAAGCAAAGAAAACTAACAAAGTAATTTAAGTGAGCTAGCTAAATAGTGAAAATATCGTTTTATTAACCTTTAAGATGATACAATTGATTTCAAAAACAGCACACATGAGTGTTTGTTATATAATATATATCAGGAAATCATAAATGATACAGGTCGGGAGCGGATCCAGGATTCGACCGACGGGGTGGCGATTTCTAAACGATGTCGGCCGAGGTAGTATGAATATTTTTTCTAAGGAATTCTGGTAGTGTACTTGCATTAGAATTCCATTTGCGAGGGAGCGTAGTGCTAGATCCGTCACTGATATAGATGCACTAAATGAAAACTAAAAAGAAATCCTGGAGTTCTATACTATCGATAAATGATACACACTTACATTGTCACATTTATAATAATAGTCACCATCAAGTCTTAAAATGTTCTATAAAACCAATGGGATGAAAAACATTATGAATCAGCCAATGTCTAAAAACCCGCTTTTGACCCCCATCTAATACAATTTTGAGTGATACAGTACATCAACTCAAGGTCTCTCATTTAACGCTTGTGCATCCCTTATTATAACATAAATTTATTTTGTGTAAGAGAAAAGCAAAGCAAGTGATTATCGGTACCCTCCGTCAAAAAAATCGTAACCAATAGTATGCGGTCTAAACATGAAGTTTAGTGGGTAGGTGCAATTTGCGTCTCGATCTAGCGGCTCCGTCTCAGCGTCTCTATTTGGATTGGCTGGAACCAACGAATAGAAATTTGTCTATTTTTTATCGATAAAATATCCAAAAATGCGTTAGTAGTTGTGTGGAGGTTAAAGAAAAAGAAGAAAAGGGAGTTTTCCTCATTGGCTGATTCATAATGTTTTTCATCCCATTGGTTTTATAGAACATTTTAAGACTTGATGGTGACTATTATTATAAATGTGACAATGTAAGTGTGTATCATTTATCGATAGTATAGAACTCCAGGATTTCTTTTTAGTTTTCATTTAGTGCATCTATATCAGTGACGGATCTAGCACTACGCTCCCTCGCAAATGGAATTCTAATGCAAGTACACTACCAGAATTCCTTAGAAAAAATATTCATACTACCTCGGCCGACATCGTTTAGAAATCGCCACCCCGTCGGTCGAATCCTGGATCCGCTCCCGACCTGTATCATTTATGATTTCCTGATATATATTATATAACAAACACTCATGTGTGCTGTTTTTGAAATCAATTGTATCATCTTAAAGGTTAATAAAACGATATTTTCACTATTTAGCTAGCTCACTTAAATTACTTTGTTAGTTTTCTTTGCTTCTTCTATCAGCGTACCGAAATTCATCATTTTTATACTAGCTGGCTATTTCTTATGAGTTTTTTTTGTTCAAAGAACGCAGGTAGTCATTTCTCCATTTAATGCAACTGACTTTGCTCATCTTTTGCTATGTTGCTTTTTATAATAATGGCGCTATAAAAATTACACAACAGCGTTATTTTCCTCGTACAATTTTCTAGTTGAGTTTCTAGAAAAAATGTTGTAAAAATAAGAAAATTTATCAAAAGTCTTTGTTTTGATACAATTCGATTGAATTGATCAAAAAGAGGACCAGTGAGTTGATAACTTTATCAGCCATATTTTTTTTAAACTTGCTTGTCTCTTTTTCTTTCCAAAATGTGGCGTTTATCAGAATGTTTCGTTACTGACATATTGATATTGTTAACAATGTGAATTTCAATTCAAGTTGTTTATTTTCTAATTTCTTTCTCTTTTTGCATTATGGGCACAAGTTCGTTCATCCAGATGATATTTGAGTGTATAAAAGAAATAAGTCAAAATCTTGAGTCATTCTATCGATTTAAATCCGTATTCAATATTTTTGTTTGAAATATTGTAAATGAATAGGATATTTTTATGAAAGTCTTACCTAGATTCCGACAAGATAAGAACTTGAAATTTATACTCAAAAACTATAGATTTGGCCCAATTTTTATCCTCCTCGCATCTTTCTCTGGTTGGCAACCGCTCTTTGAATAAAGTGTAGGAATGTTACCAATAATATTTGAATGTTGACGGCTAATTAGTTGCTGAGATTGTCATGGAGAGCTTGGAGATATTTCATTTAGTGCAGAAGTTTTTGTTCTATTCCACTAGACTGCTTGAAAAAAGTTTCTAAACAGTTCTAAGGACTTGATTTTCAACAATTTTTCCGTGAGTTTTTCATGTACACACCCGACCTGATTAGAAACTCTTTCTTCTGCTCGAACCACTTTTCGAATTTCTTTTGGCTATGATGGTTAAGAAAAAAAATTCGAAAATGAAGGTTGCCGAATAATTTTGGTACTCACTTCGTGTAATATAGGTTATGTATGTATATTTGAACGTTCTTACTTTTTCTGTTTTCGTTTCTAATATTTATAAAGACTATGACATTCTCACCTGTGTTCGTGATCATATGCATGCAATTATAGTAAGATGAACATTTTTTGGCCTGTTGTATTTTGAATCTGAATTTTTTTTGTTGTGTTTTTAAAGAATCTGATTTTGGCTAATGTTTTCATTAATCGCTTTATTATCCTTTTCATCTGTCAGACAACTTTGCTCATAAACTATACTAGAGTTGGATGCTGAGATTTGCGCCCAATTTTATTCATCTATTACGTGTCATATGTGGTTATAACTCAATCCTTTTTTCATTTCAGATTTTAATGTTGTTATGGATTCGATTAGAAAATTGAAACCAAATACCAAACATTCATTTGACAGAATGCCATCGCATTTAGTCGAAAAGAATCGTCAAACATCTGAAGGTGATTATTGTTTAGACAATAAATATGCGCGTTACACGTATTTACCGCCGATAAAATTAAATCCAAATGATAAAATAGAGCCATATCGATTACAAGTAACATCGAAAACAAATGAAATACGGTAATTATTAACGAGAGAAAAGCCTCTAAATAGTGATGCTTTTTTTGTTCACAGATATTTACCAAATTATATGGATGAACCATCATCTAGTAGTGATGAAGAAGAAGAAAATGGTAAAACTCGTCCATCGGCTGAACCGTTCACACTCGATCAATTTTTAAGTCGAATGCAATCATCGCCAACAAAAACGCTACGACCAGTGAACTTAGAAATACGGTACAATAATGATGATCAGGAAAGAAATTTTTCAAATAGACCACCAAAGGGATTTTTAAATCGTCCATCGCAAAAATCTACACCATCAGAAACTCCTACACCTTCTGCATGTATTCAGCATACAGTACAAAACAATAGTCATCATACTCCATCAGAAACATCAATACATGATGATGATCGACAACAAAAGTAAGCAAAACTGGGAAACTTTTTATCATTATTTGTTGAATTTTGTTCCATCTTGTAGTTTACATTCGAGAAATTTTTTTTTCTCGTCTTTCGTTCGAAATAATGGTGCTATACAAAACATTAATTCTCTTTCTTCATCAACAATCACAACGGTTACGCCTGTTGAACAACAGATGATTAGTTCATCCTCTCCTCTGTCTACTACTCAGAATTCTCAACGTTCAGGTTACGGACGCGGTCATCGTTTCCCACTCGAACAACAACGTGAACCCCCACAGCCGAGCTTTGGACTTCCATCAAATTATTGTTCAACCAATTCCAGATAGTGATCAACACTGGAAAGAAATAAACACAATAAACTGCATATACAAAAGAATTTATTTTATAAACTGTAACATCAATCAAACGGAGAAATTGAGAAAACAAATAATGCGAACAATAGTTTAAGGTTTAAGGAAGAGAATGTATTGCGTCTTATTGTTTTCACCTTCTGGTTGCTGAGCAACTGCGATTTAGCTTATTTTTTTTACTCTTCTGTTTGTTGATATCTCTGTTAGCTCACGTTTTCATGAATTTTGATAGATGAGACGATTTAGTACTAAATGAGAGAACCACTGTTGAAGTAATGAACTTGAATTTTCGCAATGTTCTATGATTGTTTCAAGTTTTTGAAACTCAAATGCTAAAACTGGTAGAAATATGGAGAATTTAGTGTTCCATGGTCGTCAGAACAATGATGAGCCAGATGATGAAAATTGATAAAGTACTAGAAACTTAATCATCGTTTGTTTCCTCTAATCTTCGTTCTGAAAATACAAGTTCTTTCTGAAAAACCTTTATTTTATTTATAAATGAAACCCTACGCCCCTCACAACTAGTCGAAAATCGTATCTGTTGAAATAGTGATTCCAATGTGCTTTTTAAGATTATGTTCTACGATCAATTATAAGTTTATTAAATCCAACTATTATAATGCATGCGGCTGACTAAAAGCATGGAAGCAAAAGAAAAGACATAGACCACAGCAGATACTTCAAATTAAAAAAAAAACGAAATTCACTACATTTGGCATTTTAAAGTCGAATTTTGTTCTTTTCTTATATAATCTAAGGATGAAGCAATGAAAAGAAACTGAGCTCATACAAGCAGATGTTTATTTAATTAATATGACTTTTGTCTTCCACACTCAGAATCCGAATCTGTCCAAAGAAGAATAAAACGACTGGTGAGAACTGATTGAAACTGTTTTTCGAAGCCATAGCGCAACAAACAAACGGTTGTTTATAATCGAAAACAAGTTTTTGGTTTTGCTCTTTCGTTCAGTACGATGTGACTGGTTCGCTTATTTGTAGATAACGTTTACACTGAGGCTCCTTTCTTTCTCAGAAATCCTGACGTTTTTACCCGTCTCAATAAGACGAATTAGGCGTCTTGCTAAGATAAAATAATTTTCTATTTTAGCGTTGCCTTGTGATCGGATTGCAGCGCTGACTCATTTTTTTATGTTTTTAACTGCATCACTCACAAAATTTTGCAAGTGACAGGGGTATATATCAATAAAGAAGACTGTTTCTTCGGTTTGAACTTGCAGTTTAGGTAAGTATATAGTACCTATATTGAACGCTCGCTTAGACTTAAGCGTTCAATAAGTTTGGACAATTTCTCACTTTGTGACAGTGAGTACACAAGGTGTACTTTGTACACTTTGTGTATGAATTCTAAACTTTAAAAAATAATGAAATGGAATTTGCACTGTATTGCCTGCAATTTTCATTAAATCAGCCCATGGCCGTAAAATTGACTCAAACTGAGTATTTAGATCTGATTGATGCATATCAGCCTATCCAATCCAGTGAGACGCCTATAGACAGACGCTTTTTTTGGTAATAAAGGCGCCTAGCCATTTTTTTATCTACCAATCTGCAGAAAATGTACGTGGGTTCAGGCGTCCTCATGATGACGATTTTGCGGAAAAATCGTCATTTTTTTCATTTCAGAAGTCGCGATTTCTGAGAGTGAAATGGAAAAAATAGTATAATATATACAGCTGTTTAATTCTCATTGTTATCTTCAGCTTCTTTGTGCACGTGGACATAATCCTCACCAAATTTTGTTGTAAATTCCTTGAAAAAAATAATCATTCGTTTTTTTCTTCAATTAGATGAAACAACACAATCGGGCGTAGGAGCGTGAGAGTTTGGAAGCGTTTGGACTGACGGATGTGGACGAGACATGAGTTTATGATTAGATCTAAAAAAGGGAGAAGTTAACAAGTGTAATAAGTTATTGAGAATTCACACAAAATAATATAGACATAGGTAAAGCAGAAACGTTAAGTTTACGATGAACCATTTGAAAAGCCAGGTATTCATATGTCGAAAGAATGTTTTAGTGATGATTTCTTCTAATTTAAGCATTCTGGAGATCCACTCTTAGATAATTGCAAACTGAGAGACAGAGAGAAAGAAACGAAACGGTTTTATTTCATTTAATTGCTGATCTTCGAAAACAAGTCAGGTGATCGTCACGCTCTTTCGATTGGATAAGAACTATGCCCACGTCTTGCAGAAAGAGAAAATCTGCACAAGTTCTTTAAAGATTTTTTTTCTTGAAAATTCTTGATCAAGAACTTGATCAAGATTTATTGATACCTCTGCACTTGATGTCCTTGGAAAAACTTG